TACAAGACGGCTGGAAATTTAGAATATCGCATCTTTTTGATCGAATAGCCAATCGATCGTTATCGACCACAGACTGGTTAATTGATTTTCAAAATTATTCGCAATTATCGATTGATAAAATTATACGTATCTTTAACAGTTATAAAAATTTTTCAAATCACAAGTATATACTTGAAAACAAGCAACTCCGTCCCGACAGAACTTAATATTCAGATCTGAAAACAATGCTAAGTAAAATGTATATTCATGAGACGTATTCGAATCGTCTGACGATTAAACTCTTTATTGTGAATAAACGGAAGCAAATTCCTTGCGAATTCCAACGTAACGGGTTTCATACATTTACAGAAACTTTCTACACTCGAATATCATTTCTGTGAGGATTACTATTCAAAATGCTTGAAGCGTTACCAACCGAAAGAATTCTTACTTATTTAACGCGTGTATCGAATCGAAATATCTTCAATTGAATTTTGTAAAAAATTAAGCGAGGGTGTTATTCGACTGGCATGTTCTAAATCGACGACGTCCTATCTATAACCTAATCTAACCTAACCTAACTTTCTATAGTTTATTTATACCTACTCGTCGTTATAACGAATAACGAACCGAAAGAAGAAATAGCAACGAAATGCAAGGTAGCTGTAAAAGCACCACGGTCATTCCAAAAGCGAGAAGAGATCGGTAAGAAGCAAGCAAAGTACGGTTAGTTTCTCCCCGGATGTCTGATGGCCTCTTTCTCGTACAAGCGGCCTTGTCAGGAATGCACATTTTCTGCCGGTACACGCCGTTTACTTTGGCTTCGATTCGAATCGATGCACAGACCACCTTTCACCTATCGTCTATCGTTTATCGTCTCTTAATCAAGCGACAGTGCTCGTTATCGTTCAACATAATCGCGATGCACTTCATGTCGTTCGAATCGTCTCAGGCATTTAGTATGCATACGTTCGGTTTCAACTTTCAACTCTCAACCTTGTAACTAGCTAATGCTTACTTTCATTCGTGCTCTTGGATAACTGATTGTTCAGTGAAAGGATAGCTATCGCTGAGCTAAGAAAATTAGTTTCGTTTAAAAACAAAAAATGTAAATATAGAGACCGTTTCTACGTTTTTATGACGATTCAAACGTTTTTATGACGTTCGAGCATTTTTTTCATTTCTCCAAAAAGTATTTAATGTTGAAGCGCTTAAAAAATGAACCTTCTTTTTCTTGTCTATTTTCACCCGTAACTGGTATGGCTGTTATTTCGTCATATAATATATTATAATTTATAGAACTCGACAGGGATGTAACAAAAATATTGCAGAGACACGATTTTCAATGAAAATGAAACTAACTAGATAATGGAGAAAATACTAGGGGAGACAGTTTTAAAACATACGTATGAGAATTAATTGTCGGCGCGGGGCATCACAGTACCGAGCTGAATTTTATTGGTTGTCCTGTACATTATGCAATTCTGTTCGTGATGGCCTTTACAATGAACAGACATTACCCAACAAGACGAGACGAGACGAGACGAGACGAGACAATGGACCTTGACAACCTCGACAGAATCTTAACCTAACAGTTAACAATTTCTTTTACTTCAAACCCGTAGTTGAGTTAGTTTCGCGTCTAAGTTTAATAAGGGTGGCAATAAGGGTTAAATCGGCAATTTTCAAAAATATTTTCTTGTGAATGATTTTTAAAATTCTATCTACTGTCCGATATAACGAATTTCCTACGATTAAATTAATTCTTCTAATCGAAATTGATCCTAATGCGTAGAAACTAGAAAAACTAGTTTTCATACATGTAAACACGAGCAACAAAATTGAAATTTCTTGAATGACAGATACACAAATATAATTAATGCGATAGTTAATATTTGTGTTCAGCAGAAAATCAAATATATTATCGCAATTCAATAAATATTCGTACACGTAAACGTGTGTGAATGTTTAAAATTAATATTGAGCGTATAAAAATATCAATTTCAGGAATTTTACGTTCACGATACACGTGATACGCCAACTGGTAGTAGAGTAATTCGTCAGCTAACCAGCGATTACTGACTCATGCGACATCTTCCGAAATTCATCGCAACTTTCATTTCACATCTGACGGAGGATAATAGTTTAAAAGTACTTGTTCGTTTCGCATAAATTTACTTTTGCATGCGATAGATTAATAATTAAATATGGAAAAAAGAAACGAACCAACCCACCCTCTCTCTCTCTCACACACACACACACACGCACAGACACTTGTTTATAATAATTATTTAAACGATATTATTATTTATGTAAATAAAAATGTTTGTAACAATGAAATATTATAAATCATGAAATGTATTCATGTACATCAAAACGTAGGAACAATATGAAAACATTGGATCATTCGAATAGGCGATTGCCGCGAACACAGCGTGACATTCAACTTACCTACCACCGTAGACATTTTTGCCTTGTTTGTCGTTCTACCGTCTGGTCCAACTTTTCCTACGACCGTTATGTTAGTGATGGTAAGAAATGATGATCGAGCACATGTTTAGCGGTGTGATTGCCCACTGGCGATCTTCTCCACTCTCGTTCTCAACATACCAAGTAATACGCGGGTTTCTTCTTCGTCGAACAATTATACGCCTGTATGGCGTGAATACTTGAGAGAACAATTATGGCTATTCGAATGAATGGACACCTCCTCGTGCTATTGCAAACGAAAAGACCGCTCGTCGAAATTATATAACCTCCGCGGTAGCAAACACGACGATACCTCTACTAGTAAGACGATGTTTTCGCGCGAGTTAGTAACCACAAGGCCCGGCAATACCCACTGCTACTACTGTTACTACTATCTCGTTAACTCACTCGTGTAGCAACACTTTCTTTTCAAAGACTATTTCGATTGTCACGTATCAAGCAATATTTTCTCTCGTTCTATTTTTAAGTATGATATTCACATTACACGACAACTACGATGAATTGATTCTATTATTTCAATTCGTACACCTAATATGCATTGTAACAACCATATGCTGCTTGCAAAGATAATTTTATAGGCTAGTACACAAATAACACAATTCTTTCGTTGATTTAAAATCAAAATGCACAACGTATCGAATGAAAGTTTTGAAAAAAGTATAAATTAACTTTGATAAAAAAAAATAGAGAGAAAGAGAAGTGAATCTTTCTGTCTTGATATTTCGAACCATAGGATTACAAAACAGCCTTGAAAATATTACGCCGTAAAGAAAGGAAAATGATCCTTTATTTATTATATGCACGATTCTATCGTGTTGTCGTGAACTTGTTTATACTCTTAGTAAAATTGCACTCGATTATTTTCACTATAAGCCAAATAATAAGATAGAAGAAAAGAGAACGAGAAACGTGTGTACCGTGTGGCTTGATTGCCACATGTACACAGACTACGCGCGACATGTAGCCGAACTCGATGCTCGGATGTTTCCGTAAGCCTTCGGCAAGTTAGCTATGTCGCCTCATTTCATCCTATTCTCCTTCTTTCTTCCTTTCGTGGTTTCTTTCCCTGTTTTCTCCTTAGATACATCTTCGTACATCCTTTCACACGACCCGACCCATATATCTATTATCCTTATTTCACCTTTAATTTGTCCGTTAAACGATACTTGATTTACTTGAAGAAAACTTTCGTAAGATTCAACAGATTGTTCCCCCACTCTTCTTCTCTACCCCTCCGCCGACCCCCTCTCTAATTTGTTTTTATTTATACACGTATCAAGTATATATTTTCTTTGTTAATTTTTCGTAATAAAATTCCGTCTTTTCGCGTAAAACTTGAGATAAAGACACACCCACGATACAACGAACCATTAACCGTACGAAAATCATAATCGATACAGAAAATCAATTCATTACATTGATGTGTTAAACGTCTTCGATAAGCTCCTTGTAAAAACAATTACTAACTTCGCATTACCGACATTTAAAAATACTCGAAACGAAAAGTACTTCCCTTACAATATAATTACAACTCTATTTGCTATTTAATTACATCTTACCCACGAGGTTAAGATATGCTGTTTTGTTCTATTACTTCAAAGCAGAAATAAATACCCTATTTATTAAAAAGTAACAAAACAACTAGATAAATTATCAATTGCATAGACAACGGGAAAAAAATTAATAACTACATAAATTCGATATATTGGACAGTAGTAGAACTCGCATAATTACACAGTATCTTTTATGGCTTCCATAATTTCATTAAGTTAATTTCGTTGTATATATTTACCGTTTCACAAGAGTAGATATGTAATAAAATATTATCAATTAACGTTCTTTTTATAGTACGGGTAATAAACTAATTAAAATACATACGTAGTTAAAGAGAAATTCAAACTTTGTTGAAAAGAATTAGCATTAACTATTTTTAAACAAATGAAAAGCTGCAAGATATTATAGCACAACCGAATAAATTTAATTAATAGAATTTAATACAACTTTCCAAATATTGCATTAAATAGCAAAGCAAATCAGAAACAAAGAAAAATGAATAAAGGTTAAATGAAGAACATTTATCGTACAGACTAAGCTGCTCGATCGATATTATATCAATGTACCGTTTTTAAATTAATAATCAAAAAGATTGGGTAAAAGATTACTTAATTTGCACGTATATAATATTCTTCTTCTTCGATCAATGTACGATCATTTTCTTATTTTGCTTTTTATAGAAAAATAAATATTAAACGTAATGAAAACAATAAATAAATTAAAAATGGTCGTAAAGATAACAATAACAGAAATAAATGCGTCATTGTAGATATTTTTTACAAAAACTCTCTAACGGACAACCACATGGACCGCATGGTTATCTTAACCTCAAAACATAACCTCAACGTACTTGAAATACACATTTAACTCGAATTGCGTAGAAAAATATGTGCAAAAAAAAAAACATGAAAATGGTACGATTGAAATGTATAAATAGTTGGGATAAATAACAAATGAAATTAATAACTGATACTCACCTGCATTAGGTATAAAGCGTGGAGTATTGCTCGTAACCACGGTGTTGTAACTTTGGGTCGAATGGACACTTGGTTGATTGACGTTCACTAGAAGTTGTGGTTGATGTTGTGACGGGTTATGATGAGGTTGAGAATGATGTTGATGATGGGGCAGATGGTGATGCTTCCCTTTCGTCGGCATACTCATCGCAAACGTAGGCCTCCTTTCTTTAAACTCTCCACTACCTTCAAAGCTTGTTGCCTTATGTGGCTCGCTGAGGTCCTCATAGGTACGTTATTTTCGCACGCGCGTAGTTAAGCGTAATGTTTGTCGAAAGACTTCTTTGCCCAAGCAAATTTTACAGAACAATTGGATGTACGCAAAATGATGGTTAGCGTTCGGTCACCCGTAGGAAACTGGTGGCACGTTTATACGCGCGCGCACTTTAATCACACTCAGTTCATGTACAAAATTTAGTCTTCGCTTTTTCCACAATATTTCTTCTAAAAACACACTTTTCCTTTATATCCGTTGACAAATTATACACTTTTTCTGCGCAGAACCTTTGTTCATTGATGCATTCGACCAAAAGTGTTTACGCTTTTATCACTTTTTTTTTTTCCTGAGATTCGCGCGCGGTATTGTAGCGTTCAATTGCTCACGGTCATTTACTTCTCCTTGTGAAACTAACTGAATATTATTGACAATAACGTACCCACGTTACTCTACCTGCCTAAAATGTCGTACGAACTGTATAACAAACAGTGGATGACTTGTTTTCTTGTAAGAAAAAAGAAGCGACGCGCACCATACATTGAGCACAACCACAGCACGCCTTTCTTTCCATTTCCTCTAATTTAACGTTCCTTCATTGGTAATACAAAAATATATCAACTTGTCGCATCTATTTCCACAAATAAAGTCTAATATAAATAAAAAAAAACTTCGTTAATAATTAATATTTATCAAACTATTTAATTATAAACCGCAACTATTATTGCATTAATTAATTCATTCCGAGAGGTACTATTTTTTCGAAACGACACAAATGGTTTGTGGTAACGTAACGAAACAAAATTCTACATACATACATAAATACATCCATACAGTAACCAATCAAATATTTGGCATAAACTACATAATAAACATAGAATAGATAACTATTTGACTAATTGTTGTTTGTGTCAAAGATTGTTAAATACATATATGTACATATTTACATAGATCACTAGTATATAATATGTATATTTAATTATTTTAAATATAATTTGAAAAGTTTTTAATAAAATCTTTCAAGATATGTTTTTATTTTACATTTTTTTACTACTACCAATTAAGTTATATATTATTTATAACAGCTTAAACTTTCAATTGAAGTAATGTAATAATTTTCATTTAACTTTGTTAAATAGAAATATTGTATTACATATATACGCATTAAAACTACTATGGATATACAAAATAATATATTGAAAAATATACAATTGTTTAAAACCATTTTATAAAATTAAATGTATATCGACAAATACATGTTTGCGATATCATCGCATTCATTTGTATCTTAACCTTACTTTATGTGCCAGGTGAAATCTTTCACTGTTATTCCAGACTTTTATAATTGTTTCAACTTTTCAATCTAAAAATGAGTTCCCGAGGTAAACTAGAAACAGAAAAATTAAGAAGAAATTTAGAAGCGCAATTGGACAGATTAGTACAGCAATTAGAAGATATAGAAGAAAATCGGTATATTCAGAAAGTCTTTCTTAGAACTCTGTATAGAATTTTATGGTTTATATTTTATTTGTTATTATGAATTTTATTACACATATTTTGTTAAAATTATAATATTTAACAGGAATTTATTAGATGCAGATGCTTATGAAGAAGCTATGCAGCTTACAAAAGAAGATTTACAAAGTTTTAATGAAAGTTTACAGAGAATGATATCAGGAGATACAACATTAGTCGATGAACTAAGTTCAATACAATTGGTATGTTCTAATGAAAGATAATTTGTTAAGTCTCATGAAATACAGTGATGTATATTTTGAATCCTAAACAAATAGGCAACACAGTCAGCAATCAGTGAAGCATTTAAAACTCCTGCTGTTATTAGAATGTTTGGTAAACGAGAAACAGCACAGCTTAGAACACGTTTAGCTCAATTAGATTGTGATATGAAACTTGGAAAACTAAGTACAGAGGCTAGCGATCGCCAACGCGGGGAGATATTAAATGCATTAAGACAACTTGGAGAAAAATTGGAACCTCAAGAGCTACAATTATTGGAAAAATTAAGGTTGAATAGTATTGATACAACAAATTATGTGCAAATAACTGAAAGTACAGAGAAAGGTCAAATGGCCATAGCAGTAGTAGGTGATGAAGTTAGAACACAGAATACTTAAATTTTTAGTTGCTTAGATTTTTCGTATAAAATATATAAATTAATGATTCGGACGAATTGTACGAGAATAACTTGTTTGTAATAGTTACATTACATAATTTAATTAGGGACAACTTTTAATATAAATATAATAAATAAAATATAGGCTATACAAGTAAATTGTATAACATATTATTTTACATTAATACGTTATTTTTTATGAAATATAAACCTAATTCACATTCGTTTCTAGTCATATTATGCTATTATTGCATAATGTATGTAAAATATGTATAGTTTTATTCAACCGTCATATTTATAAATTATTTACAAATTCAAGGAAATATACGTATATTTACGCATATAATACGAGACATATAATTCTTGTAAATATGTATACACACATATGTGATATAAACATATGAATAATGAGTTACGAATATTTGGTCTTAATACTGAATATCAGAGTTACATATTATTTCAACATACAGTATTTTAAAACGATAAATGTATCTTACTGGCATTAAATGTGAAATTAAAAAAATCAAAAAAATTCAATTTTTACGATATTGTTTATTATCGGACCCAAGACCGGTAACGTTAGGGAATGACACGATTCTTTATGACATTGTTCCGCTTCTGCTGAAATTTCCAAAGCAAATTTTTTCGGTTGCAAAGTCGCGCTTGGCGACTCGCCTTCAATACTTAGCTTTATTTGAAGTCTCAAACATAAAAAAAAATAGTAGTTACAAATAACAGCAGATTAAACATTTGTTTGTATACATGTTACAAATACTTCCATTTAAGGAAAAAGTTTACAAAACAAGTGTCACTTTACTGTCAAGAATATATTAATGTGCTTCTACAAAGTATTTTTCTGTTCTTTCTTTTTCATTTTTTTTTTTACAAATACAATAGTTTTAATTGTATTCTTACAGACTCATTACTGAATTATTATGTTTATTGCATCCATTATTAATTACCGTTTACGTCGGCAAACTCTTTTATGTTCCCGTTGCCAATGAACTTGTTGGCAATCAGTGCTACAATACGCAGTATTCCAACAGCAATGGTATATTGCTTCAGCTTCGCAATTGTAACACTGAAATTAGAATGTACAAATTAAAACATATATATATATATATATATATAAAGACATAATTTGTAAAATATAGGCGCAGAAAAGAATTATTGAAGAATGATTACCCATTGCTTCTTCTTTATTTCTGATATAATTTGTTGATGTCTGTCTGTTAATTGTCGCAATTCTTTAGCATGTTCAGCTTGTAGTTTTTCCAATTCTTTACATTTTTCCAGCTCTAATTCACGACGTAGTTTTTCTACCGCTGTTGTAGTTGGTTGTTCCGATGTCCTGCGTTCCCTTTTTATCTATAAAACGGACCGTATAAGTATACGATAAACGTAAATGATCAATGCAGTTACTTTATTTTGTACCTTTGCAGGTAGCGTTTCTGTCTGTATTTGCTCTGTTTGTACAAGAACACATTTAGTTCTTGGTTCCTGAGAACTAGATGTAACCATGTCCTCTTGAGAACCTTCTTTTTTCAAACCTTGAGGACAGGTGCTAGATATCCCTCTTGCAGGTTCATCTTCTGCCACGGGTAAGCAAGGTACTTGACGTTCTTCGCTTTTAGCTTTAATCGTAGATCGTTCATTATTGTCTGTCGCTTCTTGAGTTGGTAGTATATCATTGTGACTATCCGAACTGAGACGTTCGACTTTCACTCTTAAATCTTTAAGAAGTTGTTTCGTAGAATTCTTCGGATGTGATTCAATGTTTCGAATTTTGGTCGGTTTTGGACCATCGCTATCGTTGTTGATGTCCAAATCGTTGATGTACTTGCCCAACTTTAGCAGCAAATTTTGATGATGCTTCAGTTCTTCAAATGCTCTGTTCCAAGCAGTGGATCTTTTTATCTATGGAAGGTAAATTGTGCAAGTTTAACAAAAAAAAAAAAAAAGGTCGAGCTTCTTCCGATTGCACAATGAAACGTAGTAATGAGAAATTAGTTGTACACTTTACGCCACAATATGTGCATACCTTCATTTCTTTCCACTTTCCTTTTTCCGAAGGCTATGCAAGAATTCGTTGTTAAGATAATAATATACCTAAGTGCAACAAGAATTTCTAAATTTCTTTCTCTCAACAGTTCTCTTCTATTGTGTCAGTGATACATACGATACACTGTAAATGGAGTGTAACCTAAACCGAGAATTTCATAGTGTTCGCGTGACAATTTCGCGTTGAACGCCGGGGAAAGTATTAACATATCTTTACCTGTAAACTTTGTAGACTGGAAGTGATTGGACGAATGAACACTTTTTCGATGTTGGCGCGCATATGATGACCTCCGAAAAAGCGGACATCGTAAATGTTCCCATTAACTTGCATCACCTTAGCTGGCCAGTACGGGTATCCCTTTTGCTTTGCATAAACTAACTGGTGCGGTGGATTGCACGGTATGCAAAACCACATTTTCTCGGATTTTTCGTTTGATATTCTGTAACAATCGGCACACCGACGAATTTCCTGAAGATCGTAGCAGCAATCTTGATACATTGTTAGACCCATTTCTCCAACTATGCTATGAGCTAAATAAACATTGAAATCAAAAATTTTTTATTTTACAAAATTTTTGCATATTAACAAAAACTTCCTTCTCTGATTATTTACCTCCGTGATATATAATAATATTATGCAAAATATTATGTGCATCTGCTCGAAATTCAGCAAGATTATTATATTCATTATTTTTAATTTTTGAATCCATTATTGCCAAGTCCATATGGTGTTTTATGAGAACATTCGGTCGCCACGCATCTTCACCTTCACTGATCCAAGTTGGGCCTGAATATTTATTGTTTGCAGTAACGATAGGATCATGATTAAAGACAATAGTACGATTTGTAATTTCCGGAGGTAATTTTGCTTTCAGATGTCCACAAGTGAAGCTTAAAATGTGATTAAGATCAATTTTATCTTGGTATGTGTCGTTATTTATACTCTGTAACAATTAATTCTACTTCAATTGATATATAATATTTAAAAGAATAATATAATATTTAATACAATACACTTACCTCACAGAAATGACACATCTTCAGCTTAATATTATTAGGTACATGACATTCAGGATGGTAAACCCTATGACACTGTTCACAACATTCTACTACTCCTGCTTTTTGACATTTACAACAATACCAGTCGTGATCATCGTTGCTTACAGTATCCGCTGGTAATCTGTAACTTTCTTGTTCTATACCACTCTTTGTTGGTACTCTTTTTAAATAAACAAGTCCATCGTCAACTGCTTTGTTTAATTCTTCCTGTGCTTCTTGTTCTGTAATTCCATAAACTCTAGATAGGTGTCGAACCATACGATCATTACTTGGCAAACTTCTTTGATGTACAGTTATTTTGATAGCATCCCATATTCGCTGTGTCATAAATGGATCAGTTCTTCGACGAATAGACATGATGATAAGTGAGAACTAAAACAAACATAAAACAAGTATTATATTTGATACGATATTTTTAAATAAATGATCTTATTCTCATTATTTTAAGAAGTGTTAAAGATTATTTATTTCACACAAATGAATATTCTGCAGAATGTTAAAATACAATTCTACTTTACAAACATATTATCAATACCAGCATTTGTTGTTACAAAAATGATTATTAATCAATATACCCACATATTGCAATGCTAATACCTAAAATGTATAACAGTTGTCAAGATACCCCCATATTTAACAAACATGGATTATCAAAACGTAATACTTATACCTAATGGTTTTTCAAAGTAGTATGTTGTTAAACAGTATAAATGAAACCACAAGTCTACAACACAAGCAACATTTATTCTGAAGAATTGAATACTTAAAAATTTTAACAAATGTGAATGTAATATGTACTTTATAACGCTAAGTGTAAGTGCAACTGCATTATTGGTGTCCAGTGTTATTACAATTGTGATTTTATTAAGAAAGCAATTTAAACAATGGATCAATACACCATTACACATTTTATCAATATCTGATGTATTATTTTCTATGTTTACATCAGGCATGCTACTCATAAATTATACAGGAAAGATTGCCTGTACAAATTTTAACAATGAAAGTAGTACTTATTATTTAAATGATAGTACATGGAATGAAAATGTTAAAATTCAGAAAATTAAACTCGAAACAATTGATGCAGATTTTAGTACTATTATAAATGAAAATAATCTTAACATAATTCCAGAATGTAATATTATTTATATTATAATGAAATATGGAATGTTATTTTTTCCATTTACAAATTCATTCGTGTCTTTATTAACGTTTTCCGTACAATGTAACTTGAATGTATTCAGTCTGAAGAATCAGTGTTCTAAATTTCTACAATTTCAAGAGGGAATACACCAAACTTTGGGTGATATCAATCAATCTGAACCAGACAACACAAAGAAATGTGAAATACCAGTAATAAATCAAGTCTTTAAAATGCAGCTGGATTTGATATTAAAGCTAAAGAAATCTGAAAAGCTTTTGATAGTTAAACAGAAGTTTGCACAAATTTTTAAGTGTATAGAAATTAAAAAAGGTAAAAGAGTTACTAGTATACTGCTAGTAAGCCAATGGATTATGCCTATTCTTATTACAGGAATTCTGTATCTAGCTCATTATGATAACAAAAATTATAACAAGGATATGGAAAATATACAATGTTTTACTGAAAGTAACTTTTTCTTTGACGAATGTTATAATAATATCACACCTATAAGTATTGCACAAAAGAAAGTTACTTCTAGTACATATCCAACTACTTTCCATGAAGATTATATTAACAATGAAGATTTAATAAAATCATCAGATTTAAATGATACCAAAGTAAATGAAATAATATTCAAAGTACAAAATATTATTAATGCTGTATTAAATGAAACCAAAAATATACTGCTGACAGAGGATAAAAACACTTACAGTTTAACAAATTTAAAAAATGATATAAGCTTACAAAATAACAGTATACTGCAAAAATATAATACAAACAGTTATAACAAAAAATCAATGTTATTCAATTATTTAATGAGAAATTCTTTGACTGACATGCCAATAAAAGAAGACAATTTACATAAAATAGATACTAATATTATTGAAAAATTACAAACAGTTATTAAAGATAATCAAGATGTTGTTAATAAAATATCGTATAATGCATCAATTATATCAGATGATCCTATGAGATATAACATAAAAAGTTATCATAAAAATAACTCTGAATATGAAGAAATGTTGAAACAAAATGTATTAAAAGATTTACAACATAAGTCTATTTCACATGATCAAAATGTATTATCAGTTATCAAAGTCATTATCTACAAAAATGATAATATATCAAAAATAATACAAGTATATGTAACCAATGAATGTTACATGTCAATTAAATTTTTAAAATTACATCTCCTTATATTTGTATTTATAATATATTTTTTGCCAATTTTATTTTCTTCAGTTTTACACCAACATGGTAAACTAAATTGTCAAGTTGTATTCGAGAAGTTAAAAGCAAAACATGAAATATTCTTAAATACTATTACATCAACGCAGAACTTGAAAGGAGATTTTGAAGAATCAATAAACAATTGTACTTCATTAGAGAAAATAGGAATATTTCATAAAGATTACAATAAAAAGAATGATGAATATAATGAACACAATGAACATTATCATATTTTATTTGACAGAAAAAAAAAACTGTGCTTAAATACAATAAACCAAGTAAGAAATATATTAAAGCTTTTTGATATTATCAAGGTGTCTTTATTATGTGGAATATTGTTATGGACACCTATACTTTTAGAATTCCTATTGAAAGTATTTGCACTTTCTAATATACCTGAATGGTTGATAAATATTTCATGCTTAAGTATGACTATGTTTGGCATATTACGAAATATTTGTAATCTTAAAATGGTAAAGCTTCAAGAAATTAATACAACCATTATGAAAACAAACATTATACATCCTGTTGTATGAATTAATTTTTATACATATTTACTTGCACCTGAGAGTTGAGAACCATGCTTTTATATAAGAAAAATTTAATTATAACTTTATATTATAAAAATTGTGTATTACATGCATTTGTGTTTTATTGTACGAATAAATGGCGTTATAGCTATATACATGCTACCGTTAACTTTGTTAGTAAAACCACCGAAATATAGTTTAAACCTTATTTCATCGAATTCCTCCATTGTAATGAATCATAATAATACACGAATAAACAACCCTACTTCAACCCTACGATTCATTATTACTTCGTAATATTAATTACGAATATAAGAATCTAAATATCCTTACCAAAGTTGGGACACAAATTTGCAATTCATATATCGTTATTGTTAGGTCGTAAACAAAACTTTGAACTTGGGAAACCACGGTTAATTATCAATTCATATTTTCACGTCCTGTAATAAAATGTATTTAAGGTAACAGTAAAATTTTCGCCGACGCCCGTAGGCAATAATAAGACAATAATTAATATTAGAGACGCGCAGTTACATTGCACATATCGCGCACGTCACAAGCTTAACCTCACTCTCTAGCAATGCGCGCGCATCTTATAATTCAAAATATTTCATTTTTCTAGCAGGTATACATAACTATACCAGTATGTATTAAATATTTTTTAATAAAACAGCATTAGCGCAATTAAGATTGTTGTCGGGTGGGGGCAGGGGTTTTTTAATTTCTTTATCACTGTTTTTCGTTCTGTGCACGATAAGATTGAATATGCATTTAGTTTTAAGTACAATGAAGTTTAAGAATAAGATTTTAAATCGTACATAACTATTTCATTTAAATATAATTCAATTTCAGTTTATTGTTCTTGCAAACATTTGTTTCTATTCGTTATTATATTTAACATTATCTATTAATCAAAAATGGCTTGAATGAATGAATTACATGCAATACATACAAGTACATACATACTATACTTACACTTACGTTAATGACTATAGCACTGTAATCATTAATTCTCGCATACTTATTCCTCTGTAGTAGGTAATTTATTATTTATTAAAATTACATAGAAGATTGAGAAAGACCAATTTCTTCTTCTAATTTGTTTAAGATTTGAATACCATCATTCCATGGGAAAACAGCAGCTTGTATTTTCGGCACTTCATAATTTTTACTATCATTTAATATCTTTACTAGCATATAATCTTTCCGTGGAAATGCTAAATCGCGTTCAGAAAGTCGTAAAATCGGACATAAATCATTTTTTCCATCACCAACATACACCACTCTATCAAAATGTATTCCTTCGTCGTTCCTTTTTTTAATATAACTTTCTAAAATTTCTCCTTTACATAAATTGACGGTGCTTAATTTACAAGAATTTTGAATATGATACATATCTACCCTTATCATACCGTCGTCACCGATTTTCGCGGGATTTGTAAATGTTTCAGTGATAACATGATTTAAATTTTTACTTTGCAACCACTCGCTAATAAATAATGTATTTGAATCGCTAATAATAATAATTTCACAACCACGAGAATGTAGTTCTCTTAAAAGTTTATCAATACCCGGCACTGGAGGTATATTAACGACAGCATTTTTAATTTGTTTTACATCAATAGAATTGCTATGTAGCAATTCAAATATCTTCCCCATGTATGGGATCCAACCGCTAGAACGATATAAATCCTTAACGCTGTCTGGTAATTTTTCCTTGGGTAACAGCTTTCGAGCCACGACATCAGTATTATCATTGGCGATCGTATGATCAAAGTCGAATGCGACAAGTACGGACCGATGCATCTATTAAAATGTAAATACAATTACAAATACAAGCGATTTCAATTGTTACTAAAATTCTTTTTATATACTTTTAAATTCAAATAATTTCATTTATATATTCCCGCAATATCATTTGCTTTGTAGATAATTCGAAAATTTGCACAGCCCTGTGTACTTACATACCGCCCTGTGAATGTAGGCAAAGAGTAGGCTTTGATGTAGGTATGTACAATACACATTTATACTTTCGCTGTATTATCTACTTCTATATATGTATGTATTTCATTGTACTATTTTTAATGTTTACGAAAGGTGAAATTGGTAATTTTAACATTAACAAGATATAAGAGATTATATAATATATTTAAATATATTTATTTGGATAAATTAATTAATTAATTAATTAATTGTTTAATTATAAAAATCATATTAATGAGTTATGTAGGTTATTTGAAAATAATGTATGTTACTTACTGCTAATTAAATTTCAAGCATACATAAAACTACAATTTTGTTAATTTGAAATATGAAAGAAGAAACGTATACAACCGAACCGTTGGACAGGTGTCCGATGACTGTCACTTGCAGGTTAAGTACGCTAGATGCCATGATAAATTAGAGCATATATATACATACTTATTTGTTTATCCACAAATAAATTACTATATTAATACATAATTGTATTACCATTATTTTCTATGCTTATATTACACACATTATGTATATTGTTGTCACTTTTATTCCCGTATAATATTTCTTTATTATATAATATTATTGTACAAAAATAATTATTTATGTGTAAAAATTATCTTAATTTGGATACATTTATTTCCATGTTTTGCATTTTTAAAACAAATAGACCTATTTATCATCCAATGCTTTTTACTATTTTCGTGTCACATTCTACTATATCAATTGAGACTGGTATACTTATATGTAGATTTCGACGTTTTTGAACAGATGGCGCAGGGGTCAAATTTCTGACCACTTTACCGATCAGTTCAATAAATTTAATTTTTGATTTAGGCTGAAAGATTTAGGCTTTATAGTGAAGCTTTCGGTGACGCATGTCATGAATGGTCATGAAGAGTTATGTAAGCACAGTGAGTGTAAAAAGTGTTTGGACACCGTTTAAAACAGAATACCTCATTTAAAATTGGACCAATTCACGCGCGTCTAAACTAGACGGCGCAGAGCAGCGTGGCATTGGGCTCCCCTTACGCATCATGATACTATGCAATTAATGCTTGTTATTATCATTATTCAATCGTTCAGTTTCAAGTTTCAAAGAAGACGCAGGAAGACCCGGTCTTTAATAAGAAATAAGTGCGGTTTTAAGAAATAATCGTTCAATTGAATCGTTGCAGGTTTTTTTAATTATTCTGGAGCTAAAAATATGTTTACAAATTCAACTTCTACTTATAAATGATAACTATAAGTATAAAATATTCGTTGCATTTCCGTGAAGAAGATATATTATTAAAAAAAATGTCAAAATGAATCCACTGTTCTCCAAACCAATTCGAACTTATGAAAGAAAGAAATGTAAGGATGTAGCAGTAATATATCCGAATTTACACATTCAATCTTCATATGATGTCGATAGCAAAAATCCTATTTTGTTCAAGAAAAAGTTGATTAATGTTGAAAGGAAAGAAGCCAATGATGATTCCATGTCTTATGATCCTTTCGACACAACGTTTGATAGACTTGCTAGAAATACAAGGTACGCAATTTTATAAAATCTTTTTATATGTGTACATTGTTTTATTAATAATGTTTTTGCAGAATTCCACCACCAGTTGCTAAAACGTGTAACAATGAAAACTCATATAATAGTTCAGCTACTAGTACTAGTTGGAATGATAATGAGTCTGAAAATAAATCTATTGAATGGGGTGATGTTACTGATAAAAAACTGATTTCTGTACAAAAGATAGTACATGAGAAACCAAAAATGCAGGTTGTAAAAAAAAAAATTAAAAGAAACAAGATAAAATCTAAGGTAAGTTTTATTGTATTAATAATATTCGAAATTGTAAGATTAATTATTAATATACATATGCTATTGAATAGGTAAAAAAAAGTGATACTTATAAAAGATATAAATTATGTAAAACAAAGGACAATAACAAGTCAGTATCTACACATTTAAACATTGATTCTTTAAATTTACCTTCAGAGATTGATTCAGAGATTAGAACACAGGGAAAAAATTATAAGAAATATACTTTAGGGAAGAGTACAAAAGATATTGGTGGATTAAACAAGCAATCCACAGAAAATATACAAATGAAGTCATGCTCTGTGGTTTTAAATACTCTCAGCACAATAAGATGTGATAATAAAGTAAATTCAATGGAAAATGATTTGTCATTAGGTGTACATGAAAATACATCAAAAAAGCAACGATTATCAGAACAAGACATTACCAAAGTAAATCTAAAAAATGTAGAATGTAATGATATAGATGTAAGGTATTGTTTTGTTAAACTTAAGCAATTAGATATAGATTCAAATGCAAAGTTATTTAATTTTGGGAAAAAATGTGGAAGAATATTCAGCAGTACACCTAAAAGTAGATCAGTAAAATCTCATTTAATTTCTTTATCACCTATTGGACTTTCTAATAAGTTAAACAATTCAATAACGCTTGAAGATAATATTTCAACTACTGCAGATAATAAAGATTCAGTTTCTAATAATTCTAATGAAGTAAACGCATGTTTGCACGCCAAATCTGATTTGCCATCTACTGATGTGACAAATATAACTAATCTTAGTAACTGCAATTTAAAACTATTAAAAAATTCACTGACCATTTTCGATTGTAACGACAATAACGTTTGCGATCAAAAAGAACATTCAACAGAGGGAACATGCGAAAAATCTCTTAAATTAGTGCGAAATAATTCCATAAATGAAATAAAAGAGATTCATGTATCAAATAAATTGGCACAAGAATGTGTAGTCGTAGATACGGAAAAAAGGAAATATCAGTTGAATTTTTCTATTGATTGTAACAGATCTCATTCTTTATTTGATGATGATACCGATGAAAATATTGGGAATAAATTACTTATTGATGTTGCAGTAAGTAATAAAATGTCTACCTATAATACAATGTTAAATAAAACAAATAGTACATCAGATAATGAGATAATAGTAGACATAAATAGTACTGACATAAAAGTAACGTGTGATAAAATAAAAGAAATATCGTCCGAGTTATCTGATTTGTCTAAATCAGTGATTTTAGATGCCTCACCTGATGTAAAAATGATAGAAACAAATGGCGGTCTCAATAAAGAAAATGCATCAAAACAGATTGAAAGTTTGCCTAAAAAAAATGATACATCAATTACAGACAAATCTTTTGTAAATAATGATAAGAACCACAGTGTGCATGATTCTTATGTAATATTGAAACGATTACAAGATCCTATTAGAGTTTCAAAAAGAAGAAAACAATATTGTAATTGGAATTTGGACATGACTAGTATTTTTGAAGATTCTGATAATAATACAGAACGGATAAACTTAGAAAGAGGAAAGGAACCCAAAAAACAGATGTTATCACTGGAAAAATTGTTCTCATTGGAAAATATAATAGAAGAATCAGATAATAAGGAATCTGTAGAAATAAAGAAATCTATTTATTTAAAACCAGGCAAATCTTGGGCAAGATCTTTATCAATTTTGAACAATATACAAAATATATCTGGGTTGGACAAGTTATCTATTGGTAAAGGTAAAAGATGGAGGAATAGTGTTCAAGATGTCCTAAATATGCAGAAACAAGGTAACTGTTATATGATTAAATAAATATTTCAAACATCTTTTTACATATTTCAAAATTATATGTAAGTTGGATTTTAAATTACATTTGTTGCAATGTGAAGGAGGTTTAAAGTAAAGTTCATAAACATTTGAATCTCGTTTTTCTTGTTACACATTTAGTAAAACAAAATTTTATTTTAAAACTCATTAACCTGAAACATTAATATTTCATTATTTTTCACTCATAAACAGAATATATACATATATGTACTTTTTTTCCATTTCTTATTTTTCAGTTTTTTTTTTTTTTTTTTTTTTTTTTTAAAAGCTATACATTGCTTTTTAACTACTTTTTAAATAATAAATATATAAAACTAGAGGAACTATATATATATGTATATATTCAACATTCACATATATAGATACATACATACATATACATATAAACTGTTATATGACTACCATTAATATAGGTAACGTGGTAAATGGGTGGGTTTCGTTAAAGAAACAAACTAGATTTATATCAAAGAGTAACAGTATCAATTAAAAGCTTCATTTATAGGAATTATACAAAGTTGCATAAAAGAGAATAGTAGTGGAAAAGAGTTGCAAGTATGCAATGAAGCAATTAACGAATCTAAATGTAAACTGGATGATAATAAAAGCAGAACTTGTGATTCTACTAATTTTGGACATCTTTCACGAAGAATATCCGTTTGTGTTGTTCCAATCCACAAAACTGTTGAATCTATCGAAGATGCTCCGTTTCTTGAAGTTTATGGCATTGTTCCTGTAAAAAGTCAAAGATATACATTATTAAATAGTAAGTTGATATTTCATTGTTTATTATAGACTACTTTGAACATTAAATATAACAATTAACTACAATTACGTATATTTTACTTTTTATTTAGATCCTAAGAAATCTTCAGCGTGCAATATTCACAGTGATGATGATTTCACTGGTTGTGATATCAAAGAACATGTTACTTCAACAGCAAAAGAAGTCATTTTACAAAAATGTTTACAGGAAGATTACATACCATTTTCTGCGTATTTTACAGATTCGTAAGCATACATAAATATAATATTATACATTGTTTGAAAATAGTATTTTAATAGTGCTTTTAGGTATTTAGAACATTGTCGAAAAATTGGAGAAGGTGTATATGGTGAAGTATTTCTTTATGCACAGGAAGACAAAAAGTCAGTTATAAAAGTTATTCCTATAGAAGGCAATGAATATGTAAATGGTGAACCACAAAAAAAATTCCATGAAATATTATCAGAAATTGTAATTGCAATGTAATTATAGCTGTGAAATATCAATTTTAATGAATATTACTTATAACATTAATTTTTAAGATCAATATTTTTAGGGAATTACATAATCTAAGATTTAACACAAAATATAATTCTGATGGATTTGTAGAAGTAAAAAATATCAAATGTATTAAAGGAAAATATCCAGAAAAACTTGTTGAGCTCTGGAATGTTTATGATGAAGAAAAGCATTCAGATAATGATTGTCCATCAGTTTTTAATGATGATCAGTTATATATTGTTTTGGAACTTGGACACGGTGGTCAAGATTTAGAAGCATTTGTATTTAATACAGCAGAGGAGGCTCACATATTGTTTATACAGGTACTCCTTTTTTAAGATTTTGTACAATGTATTGGAATTATAGTTAATTATATTAATAAAATATTAATAATTGTAATATATTTTATAAATGAACAACTTATACGTAATATAAATTAGTATAAGTAAATGTATTCAATGATTATTGACAGGCTGCATTAGCATTAGCAGTTGCAGAAAAAGCTGTTGAATTTGAACATAGAGATTTACATTGGGGAAATATATTAATATCTCCAACAAATGATTCTCATGTATATTACAAACTCGGACGAAGAAAGATTAAATTAATTAGTAAAGGTGTAAAGGTACTGAACTGAAATGACGATTATTTTTCTAATTAGTAATAAAGTAATTCTTACAAGAAGATGAAATATTAAATTTTTTGTTTTAGGTATCTATTATAGATTTCACTCTTTCAAGAGTAACATATCAAGGATGTAGTGTGTTTAATGATCTTGCATTAGATCCTACCCTTTTCACTGCTCAAGGTGAATACCAGTTTGAAGTATATCGCTTAATGAGAGATAAAGTTAAGTAAGTATCTTTATAAATTTTTTATAATGATTAATAAATTATATACTTATTTGAAAAATTATTTCAGAAATGATTGGCAACAATTTGAACCTTACACAAATATTTTATGGTTGCACTATACTTTAGATAAAATGATTACAGCAGTTAGATACAGAAAAAGAAACTTAAGAATTCATCAAAATAACATTAAAAAGCTCCAAGAACTGAAAAATGAAATTTTGACGTACAGCAGTGCCTTTGATTTTGTATCAAATTGCGATAAAATTGTTAATTTGGTGTGTAACGACTCATAGACGGAATGTATCATAACTTGCTCAAGAAAATAAGAGTGTATAAAAAATGTGCAAGAATATAAACATTTAATAATTATGGTTCAACTTTATGGTAATTTATAGGCACTAGACAAAATAGTTGTGCATAAGTAGGTGCTGAATTCATCATATTATCAAGAAAAAAAGAATATGCGGATTTGATAAGTATTAGTACAAATATTAGTATTTCATTTATTTACGAAATAAAGTTATTGATTCATTTTGTAGATGTTTAGTAGGTTAGTATTAATTAATTATTTTCGTAAGTTTTTATTGTATTATATACCTTTGACTATTCTTACTTTTAAGTAGTAGTGACATATTTTTTAAATTATTTGTAAATAAATGAAATTTTTATATTATTACATTTATATCTGAATTAAACATAAGTTATAATTTCAAGTTATAATTCATCTTGAGTTTTCTTTATTCAAGTTTTCAACATTAATTATATCATCCGCAGTTGAACAAATCAAGTATCAAAAATATTGCAACATTAAAATTTGGAATAAGTGCGTAAAAATATGTTGCACTTGTTACAAATTTTTATAAATTATTTTTTTATAATTTATTAAGAAGTTTTATTTAAAAAAAAAACTTTCTAATAAAATTAATCTGTGTGAATAGTCCGCGAATATTCGTAAGTGGTGCTCAATTTATGGTATGCGCTACATTGCTTTATAAAATTCCATCTTTGTTGATCAAACTGAAAAGAATTTATATTAAATATACAATTTTAAAATATAAACTATAATTTTGAAAAATTATACTTACAGTACTATCTTTTTCTACTTGTTTTTCTTTTTCTACTTGTTTTTCTTTTTCATATTTGTTTTCCAGTTCTGAGGGCTTTTCTTCGCAATAACGATATCTATGAATGTACAATTATACTACGCAATCTGATAATATTGCTTGTGGATCAGTGAGATTAATATATTACCTAATACTGTGCTCCAAACTAAGTTTATCATCTTGTCTTTGTAAAGTTGGATAATTTTGTATATCATTAAAAATGGTAAGTGGCCATTGCTTTTCTAATCGTGTATTAGTTTGTTCTTTCAAAATTGAAAATACAATTTTTGTTAAAGCATGGGATTTTTTAAAACAAAATATTTATGTTAATTTTATTCATGTAAGTACATGATAAAATATGGAGATATATTATCTTTAAAATATTGTTTCTGTTACCTCTTCCATATATATTTTTTGGCCTCATTTCCATCTTTTCTTCTATTTCATCAATTTTTGTATAAAATTCCTTGTGTACATCATTTTCGTAAAAACACTGATTTTTATTTTTTGCACACATTAAATTTGAATTGCTATTAATAATTACGCTTATCCGTTCGTTAAGTTCCATTAATTCTTTCATGTTTAGTGACTGAAATAAAATTATTGTTCTTCAGTTACATTATTACTATCTGCAAGCTAATTTACATACCTGCAACCAGTTTTCCGAATCAAAAATTCTTTCACTTTTTAAATTGTCTTCGAACTGAGTTTGTAAAATTTCGATATTTTTTTTATGCCTTTCATTCACTGCCTTTAAACTGCTGTCGTAATTTTTCTTCATTAATGTTAATTTATTTTGATACTCTGCTTGAGACTTTACAATAATTTTGAAGGCATGGAAATAAAGAAATATATGATTAAATACACGAAAAATATTATTAATATAATATAGCACAGTATACTTGATAAAATAAAACTAAATTGTAATAGCCACTTTAAGAACAGCACGAAGGTCCATGTTTTCTTGTGTTAATTGTTCTATGGTTTCTGTATAATTTCTTATTTTGCAATCTCTAATTTCAATTTCATTTAGTGAATTTTCAATTTCATTTTGATCTTCATAGTGCACATTTTCGAAAGATATCGTTTTGTATTTCATTTTCCTGTTGTTATTTTCTGAAGATTCAAACTGTTTAAACATTGTACAACTAGTTGTATTTATATTTTTTGTTATATTTGCAGTATTTAGTAGTTGTCGCAATTCAACTTCCTCTATTTCATTTTCCTTTATTTCTCTTTCCTGATTATTAGTTTTTAATTTAAAATCTCTATTTATATAATTCGTTGTTAATGGCATTATCTCATCTTGATGTATCTAACAATAAATTAAATAAATTAATGATATTAAACCGAAACACGAAACAAAACAAAATTAATGTAAAAAATTATTTTATTAACTGTGCATTTATTCAGCGAGTGTTCACTAAATTGAAGATTTGCTAAATTTTCTTCTGAAGTACATTGCTTTTTAAGGATTTCAAGCTTTTGAAGTATATTATTGGAAAGAGCATATAATTGGCTTTTTAGTTTTTCTTCGGAAATTTTATTACAGAGTTTCATTGTTAATTCAGAGTTTTCATTTTTCCAGTATTCTACATATTTTTGTAAAATCTCATTTTCATGTAGAATTATGCCTAAATCAGTATCAAGTTTTTTATTGTTATTTTGATCATTTACAAGTTGCACTTTCAAGCTGTTAAGCTCAGCCTTCAATTTTTCCTTATTTTTGTCTAATTTTGCAAGATCTTCTTGCACCACATATATGATATTAATTTTGTCACGTTGTTCTGTTAAAGACGTAATTGTTTGATTCATTCTGATGAATTTACTCTCATTATCTTTTAATTTTTCACCTAACAATTTATTTTCATTTTGTAGTTTTACAATTTCATCCTCCTTTTCTTTTACTACAATTTCATGTTCCCCGATTTCTCGAGATGAAATGGTTTCATTTTTTTCAAGTCTATTTTTTAAGATAACTATAGTTTCATCTTTTTGGGAAATAATCGTATTTCTTTTCCTAATTTCTTCTTTCTGTTCTTCTAGGATGATGCTGTTTTTAAGTTGAATGTCAGATAATCTATAAAAATATGAATTATCCATTATCAATGAAAATATTAAATATTGAGTTAAATAGATAACAATTGAAAGTAAAGAAAATATTATTACTCTTTCTTCATTTTTGAAAGTTCGTTTTCCATAGCATTATTTAAATCATTTATTTTAGAGAGATTGTGAAGCTTCTTGTATAAATTCTTAATTTCTAAATTTTTCATTGTTAACCGTTTCCTTGTCTGTTGACATTCTTTCCATAATTTATTTTTAATATTGTACAAATTCTTATTTTTTCTCTTCAATTCGTTTTTAAATATTTGAAGCTGACCTTTTAATTCTGATATAAGTGCATTTTTATTACTAAGTTCTGTAATCACTTTTGATAATTCTTGTTTAATTGCAATGCTCTTTTCAAATTCCTGTTGATTTAAACAATCACCTTCCCCTCTTCTTCTTTCTAAATGTTCTGCTATTTCTTTCTTTAATTGAGCTATTTCTGTATCCTTTTCTTGCAACTCTCTTTGTTGCTTTTCAATTACGTCAACTATTTGTATGCGTTGATCTCCAGCACCTTAATAATAACATTTATTATACAGACTGTTGATATTTTATAGGTATTAAGTAAAGGAATAAAATTATACCTTGAACGACTTTGTTCACTCGATCGATACAAGATTTGAAATACATTTCAAACGCACAATTAATTTTCCTGTTATGTAAACTTTCTTGTTCTATGCGTAATATTTCATTTAATAATTGATATAGAATGGCTTCAATAAATTCATTTATTCTATTTTGTATTTTGAATAAATCAGTGGGTACTTCTTCAACACAAGAATTGTACTTTACATATTCTTCTTTATGTTGGCTATATAATTTAGAAATACGTAGCTTCCTCAATGTAATATCTAATAAAAAGAGTCATGTAATTTGTGTTAACAAATATAAGAATATAGATAAACTATAAAAGCACCTTGAGAGATATTAACAGCTGATTGAATATCTTCCAGAATTTCATGGAGTTTATAAATTAGTTTAATTACAAAGGGACGCTCAGTTTCTACATATATTTTTAATTTCTGAGTAAGGGAATGAAGTTTAATTAGAGACTGTGAAAAATACTCAATGATTTCTTTTTCTACTTTATCGATATTAGTCTTATTATCCAGTTTAATAATGTAATTGTGACATTCCTATTAAAAAGAGCATTTTGTTATTAATATTCCACTATAGAAAATGAAATTAACAAAAATATTACAGTTTTATGTTTATAGATATCTAAATTGTTGCTTGTTGTGCATAAGGAATTTTTACTGTTAACAGAATTAGAAACTTCTTCCAATTCTATTTCATTCGTACTACTTTTATCTTGTTTGATATTTAGGACAATCATGTTGTCCTTTCCACCTAAACAAATAAATCATTTGTAACAAGGATTTTTATGATTATCAGAACAATGTTACTGTTATGTATATGTGTGTATACATATATATGGCTTTTGTATATAATGTTACTTGTATTTTTTAAATTTATGTCAGGTTCGTAATAAAAGTCTTCGTCAATTATGTTTCTGAAATTCTGATCGAGATGAATTTGTTGTTTATTATTTTCTATACAACGCTTTAAATTTTCTATTTCTTGTACAAGATTTTGACTTTCTATTTTATAACTCTGGAATCTTGTCATAATAGTATTTATATTTTGCAACACATTGTTTGCTTCTTCATTAATATCCAGTTCACAGTTTGTACAGTTATAAACATCTTCACATAATCCATTGAGTTCTTCCAAATTGTTTAAAGCATGTTTCAAATTATTAAAAAAGTCACTAATTTCTTGTTTCATAGAAAGTAATTCTTTCTCATATTGAGAAATTTTAATATCCTTATTATGAATCTCAGCCTTTAAATTTTCTAATATATCTTTTGTCTTTCTCTAATTATTAATATAAAACATAATAGTTATTAGTTAATAGAATACTTAATTCATATAGAATGAGTATACATGTATACTCAAACCTGTTCTTCATATGCGATAGATATTTCATTTATTAATTGATTTATTTCTTCTTCTTGATCTATCAATATATGACATTGTTCATAATTTTCTTTTTTAAGTTCATTTTTCTCTTGCAAGATACTTTTTATTTGTTGCAATGCTAAATTGCACGTTTTAGCTTTTTTAACTGATTGTTCCATTTCTTGTAATTTTTCCTATAATAAAAATATGAATATGAAAAGAAGAAGTAGTATTTATCGTTTGAAACAAACATTCACCTATTAATATGTTTAATTACTAACTATATAGGAAGTTTTCTCCAACTGTAGCATTGCTACATCTTTAACACATAATTTAAGCTTTTCTATTTCTTGTGATTGTAAATGACAAGTTTCATATTTATTAGATAGATCTTGTTGGAGTTGTTCTATTAAATATTTGTAATCACGGAGCTAAAAGAATAAAAGATAAAGAAATTCAAGAAACTGAGTAATGTATGCAATATATGTTACCTTTTGTTTTAAATTTTCTATTTCATAATTATGTTGCTGATGTAATTTCAATAGTCGGTCATATAATAACTATGTAACAATTACAAAATATTAATAAACCATAATCTTTTAAAAAAGTAATGTTATCTCACTATCACAATACAGTTTATATACTTGCTTTAAGATTCTCTTGTTGAGTTTTGATATAATCTTCCTTTTCTTGCAATGATTTTTCCAAATCATTTTTCACATCTTGTAGTTCTTTTAAATCAGCATCTCTCACCTTGAAATTAGGCATGTAATATTAAAGTTATTAACATAAATTAAATGAACAGTGATTACAAATAAAATAGAAATATAATTATCATAAGATTAAATATTGGATTTCATACACATAATTCATGTTCTAAAGCAATGATTTTTGATTCTGTTTGAATAATAATTCCTTTATGAATCCTTTGATGTAAATCAAGATTCGATTCTGCTTGCATTTCAGTACAAAATTCTATTGTAGTTTCACTATTTTGTGAACTTTCACTACAAGATGCATCACATTCAAAACTTTGTTCTTTATCATTATTTGTCTGTAAACTACTACTGCCTGTTTCTGTCATACTATTATCTTCATCGCTGTACTTGTAAGCAAATGAAGTTTGTGACATTACCTAAATAATAATAATAATAGAAATAATAATAATTTTTAAAATATAGAAAAATATGAATACATTCATACAGATTTAGTTGAACTTTTATTGAAATATTTAGCCATTTGACTATCTATCTTTCCTGCATTGCACATTTCCATTTCTACCTGTAACAAAGGATTTGTGTAAGTAGTATTATTAATAGTGTGGAAAATTTTTATTATTATTAATGTGTTATTACTTGTACAGCTACATCGATACATTTTATACAGGGTAATGGTTTTTCACTAAAATCTGAGAAATCAGGATAAAAATTGAAACTGTAAAGAAGTTGCGAATATTTTATATATTTATTTACTGTACCTTCAGTGAGAAATGATTTAATACTTCGAAACGATGGTACTAAATTAGAATTATTTAAAGATGAATCATATGCGGTTAAAGAATAAGGACACACTTCGTTTGATCGATTTCGTAAAGTTGATTCATCTTTTATATTATTTTGAAAATGACCTTTATAGGGTATATGAATTGATAAACATGAATTTGAATTAATTGTAGCTACTGATTTACTAATATCAACAAATGCATCCCTTAAAGGAAATGATGTAGTACAATTATCATTTTGCAACCGTTTCTTAATTTCTTCTTTATTTTCCTGTAAGAAGTAATATAGAGACACTAAAGAATTTACAAAAATAAGCAAATACTTTTAAAATAAAAAAATTACTTACGAAACTGTGTAATTGTTGTTCTTGTTTAGGAGAAAGTTTAAGACATTTATATTTTTGCAATTCTTCTTTAACTATCTGAAGTTCATTTTGAGCTTGTGAATTCAGATGAATTATATTATCAATCACAACATGAAATGGTATTATTTTTCCAATCTGTAAGTATAAATAATACGTAAAAGACGATTCTTTTGGTAGGTAATCATATATTTTGTTAAATACATACTGGTGAACCATTTTCATTGAGTTCACGAAAATAACGTGAATTTTCTAAATAGTTCGGACTCCATGCTCTAATATCTGAACAAGAATCATAAAGTTTTAATCGACCTTCCAATCGTTTTTTTGGCAAAACATAATCACCGTATATCAGTGGTGTTCCAGCGTTATATTTATTAGCTAAAAAAATTCGTGGACCATGTTCTGCATAAGACATATTGCTTTTTTTCTAAGTATCCTTGGATACTTGGAATATTTAGCTTATATATGAATTATTACTGCTATAAACATATTATTAGTGGAGTCTAAAATCTTTGTTAAAAATATACTTTGTAAAGCACATTATATTATTCATTTTACTGTTTCTATTTACATATGTATATATCATAGTAACCATTAAGAAACAAAATTAAAAACGATATAAAAGGTGATCAATACAATTGATACATTTATCAAGTAATATTTTATTCGATAAGTTGCTACAGTAAATCATTATATTACTACAAATAATATTTTTGTATATAATTGCATCATTCAAACATCATGAATTGCTTGAGGCAGAAAATATATTAAAATATAATTTCATAACTGTGTATCCTTCCTTTTGATAACGCGGAAACATGCTGTGAGTAACGCTTAGACGTTGTACGCATGCTCGAAAACAAGCCAGAAAAATGTTATATGTGTATGTAAGTACTCTTGCAATGATAGTACCACAGTATCGATCGAGCATCAAATTTTTGTTAAAAATTCAAAGTAAAGATTATTTGCATTAATTTTACGACATTCGTTGAATGATAACCACTTGATTAGCGCCAGTGTTGGTCGCCGTGGGGTTTTAGTCAGTAAGAATCTGACACTTCCCCGCCGCCCTGCCCCAGGGATCGGCGGGGGGTCTTATGCAAGATTTCCCCACGTTAAAAAAAAAAAAAAAAAAATCCTTTACATCCCTACATTCCTCACATCCCTGCATTCCTCACATCCCTACATTCCTCACATCTCTGAATTCCTGCATCCCTTACATCTCTGAATTCCTTATATCCCTGCATCCCTTACATCCATGCATTCCTTACATCCCTACATCCCTTACATCCCTGCATCCCTTACATCTCTGCATTCCTTACATGTCTACTTTCCTTACATTCCTGCATCCCTTACATCTCTGAATTCCTTACATCCCTGCATTCCTTACATCCCTTACATCCTTGCATTTCTTTCGTGAGCATCCCATTATTTTGCAAAATTTTGCAAAAACTTTAGCTCCCTGGCGGCAAATATTTGAACTAAATTTTCGACGTCGAATCAGCGCCATCTGGTTTCAGAAAAAGGAACTAAAGCTTGCCGAAATTTTGGCCCTCTAGCGGCAAAAATGTGAACTAAATTTTCGACGCCAAATCAGCGCCCTCTGGTTTCAGAAAAAGGAACTAAACCATGCAGGAATTTTGGCCCTCTAGCGGCAAAAATGTGAACTAAATTTTTGACGCCGATCCAGCGCCCTCTGGTGGCAGAAACAGGAACTAAATTTTGCAAAAATTTAAAATTATTTTTCACGAGACTTTACTTACCTTTACTTACCTTTACTCGAACCAGTGGCCATAAGTATTTTATTTATAATATGTTTATTATAAGGGTTGAAAGGATACAAGAGATGCAGGGAGAATTCAGGAGTGTAAGGGATACAGAGATATAAAGGGTACAGAGATGTAAGGGATGCCGTGGTATAAGGAATGCCGGCATATATGAGATGCAGGAATATAGATGCAGGAACATGTATATCTGTAGTACAGATATCTTACATTATTTTTCATTTGATGTGTAAAAATAAATATGAAATATTTACTTGTATGTAAGTACATACATGTTATTATAAGTCTACATATAACGGTAAATTCAAATTGGGCGCTTTGATAACAGTGCTGCCAACGCCATTTGATTAAATCAAAGCACCATCTAGCAAAATATACAGACAACTATATTGACTGTATAGTAGGACATGATTATTCGAATTCAATCTATTTCACAATTCTACTTCTATGACAAAATGAATGAAGGTTGGTGAAGGAACGAGTTGTGAAAACAAACTGGGAATAGAAATTTCAATAATTAATACAATATTGGTGTTCAGTCGAACGATATACAATACATTTAGAATTAAAAATCATGTCTAAGAGTAAACTTCATTACCAAGTTGACAGCAGTATTGTCGCAGTGAAAAGCAAAGTAAGTCACTTTCTATCTTCCTACTTTTATAATCTTAATAGTTATAATAATAAATTTCAAGATATTCGTGAATTCATTTGTCATATCGTTTTATTTACTTCCATTTTTATATGAATAACTTTCATCTTTATAGTTTGATGCTGATATCATAAGATTTTCAATCAACCGTAATGAAGCTATTAGTTATGAAGATTTTAGAAAGTTACTGGCTGAGCGACACGATATCGGGCCAGATTTGAATTTTCTTATTTGGTATACAGATCCAACTGATGGTGATTTATTGCCAATTAATAATGATAACAATTTGGCAAGAGCGTTACTTGCTGCAAAACCACTTCTTAGAATCTTTATACAAAGAAAGGGTAAGCTAATTTTATTAAAGTAATTGTATAAATTCAAAATAGTACAAATATAGTTATGTTGGTCAATATAAAATGTAAACTAACTAAATAAAAGGTATTATTGAACAAAAAAAGTAGTTTTTCATAAAAAGGTAAATCAGATAAAAAAGGTAAAAGGTAAAACAATTAATAAGAATATTAATTTTAACGATAGAGTATTTAATACTTTTGATACTTTAACAGGAGATGGATTAGAAGACATAAATGGATATGGAACAATGAAACCAAAAAATCTAATATCAAGTATCCTTGGTGGCACACCTGGGAAACCAAAATCATTGGCTATATCTAATCCACATGATTTTAGGCAGGTATGTTTTATTTATTTTTTTCTAAATATATGTATATATATATATATAAATGATAACTGTAAGTGTATTATAAACTTTATTTGATAATATCAGGTATCTGCAATAATAGATGTAGATATATTACCAGAAACTTGTCGTCGGGTACGTTTGTTGAAACATGGCTCTGACAAACCATTAGGATTTTACATTAAGGATGGAGAAAGTTTCCGAATATTGCCACCTTCCGCGGGTGGTGGTATTGAAAAAGTCCCAGGTGTATTTATAAGTAGATTAGTGCCAGGTGGCTTGGCTGAAAGTACTGGCCTATTGGCAGTAAATGATGAGGTTCTTGAAGTAAACGGTATAGAAGTTGCTGGAAAAACCCTTGACCAAGTAAGTTATTTTTTAATTCATTGCTAATATTGAAAAACTAATATTCATACCATTTCTTATTTATAGGTTACAGATATGATGATTGCCAATTCTTCAAATTTAATAATCACTGTAAAGCCAGCAAATCAGAGAGCAGCATTAGCTGCTCCAAGACGTGGTTCATTTTCACGAAATAGTCAGTTATCTTCTGGAAGTCATCAGTCTACACAAAGTGCTGCAACCGGTAGCGACGAAGATGCGGATGAAATAGTAGATTTAACTGGGGTAACGTTACAAGATGATGCAACAACTTCTACTTCTCAACATCATCATTATCATCATCATCATCATCATCAAAATCATTTTAATCACGATCAAGGTGTTCTACATTTATAAATGGCACACGACTTAAAATTCTTTTTGTATTATGTTATGCTCATTTGAATATTACATTCAATATTCATTTATACAAAAAAAGGTATTTAGAGCTAACAATAAGCGTAAAAGTATAACATGACAATAAGAAGTTAAAGTAGCGAAATATGAAACATAAAAAACTGGTATGATTATTATTTAACAGATCTAATAATAATTATGCCACTAAAATTATTGCTATATAAAATGCAATTTATAAAAAGAGTATATTTTTACAAAAACTTAGTGCCTTTGAATTAAATGCATTTACCATTGAAATAATTATCTATCATTGATTAAACTTGTTCTATTACTACTTTTTCGAAATTCAGAACTTTAGAAGATCAACAATAAGATTAAGTGCTTCACTTATAAAATAAAAGTAAAACATATAGCTTTTTGCAAATTGTTTCGTAACACAAACTATTTGCATTAATAATTTTCGAGGGCAAATATAAGTAACAGATATAAAAAGTATTGTAAAGACAAAACTGTTTAAGAAATAACAAAATATTCATGATGAAGATAAAAATAATACAGTTACAACTGAAACACGGTAACATATTTTTCCTGTAAGGTTTTTAGATGAAAACGTAAAGATTTTTCTAAACAGTTTAGTATGGTTAGAAGAATAATAATACAAGTATTTACTATGTATGGAAGTATTATTAGAAGGCAGCAATGTTTTTAAAGTATTAAAATAATATTTAAGCAATAATAGAGTGAATTGTGAACGAAGATGAAACTTCAAATATTAAAATTTCCTTTCTTATGTTATAATTTTTCTTAATACTATGATTATTAATAGTATTGTTACATTCGGTAATATTTTATTCGTTATCTCACAATCTATTAATGATTTTCATCAATAATTTTTTTTTTCGAAGATTTTTTAATGTATATAATGCATATAACGAGATTCAATAACTTAATTTATCATCATAAGTAGAGTTCTTTATTCAAGGATAAATAAAAGAAATGTATATAAAAGTAGTCTAAGAGGATGAACTACCGGATATCGAATCGAATATAAAAGTAAAAGATCAACTGGCCTTATGCGTAGATCATTCCAAATATCTTTTACAAAAAATACAAAAGTGATTATTTTTAATGTAATGCATTCAGACACGTCCATTCATACATGTATTCTGTTTATTCCTCTGCATGTTTAAATGTTAAAGTTTTTGAATTTTAATTCCATTTTTACAAATGTTATTTGTTGTCTAATTGAGCACTAGATATTGAAACGTAATGTATTTTACAAATTTTAGATGTAAGACAATTTTTAAGGATAAGAAACGTATTTATATAGATGTATAATAATTTCTTTATATATATATGTGCCTTTATTGTTCCGTCTGTTACTATAAAACTGGATTGTGATCAATCATGTTACATTCCATTTCCATAGTATTGTTTGTAGTGAACAAAGAATATACAGTACGTGCGAATTATATATTATTTTTTTAAAACAAATCACTACAGCTAGACATTTTTATGTTTGTTTAATACATTTCTTAAACAAATTATAAAATACGTATGTACATAAAAGGAAAATAAGAGTTTTACTGTAATACAATTACGAATTAACTTCCAGGTTAAAGTAGTTCAGTTGCCAAACCAGAAAAACGATATTCTTATAATTGACATAATCATTTCCAAGTTTACGGGTTCTATTTCATATAAATTATTATAAGTGTAGATATAAAGTATGATATCCAATAAAATCAGATGTATAAAATCAAAGTTGTTTAGCGAAGGAATACATGAAAAAATATTTTGAAATTATCCTTATATATAACAAATGCATATATATACACATAAGATTTTGTACTTAAATAAAATATATATACATTACTATGAATTTGTTGTTATTAATAGTTTCTTAATTGAAGTATAAGTTATGAAATTATATTAAAATATAATTCAGTCATTTGGTATTTTGTTTTTCAACGGGCTAAATTTTTATTGCTTATATGCCTATCGTAAAATATATATATGTATATAAAACGTCGCAAACTACTCAACAACTTACCGACAAATTTCCCGAAGAGGGGAATATTTGCGCCATCTATCGGGAAACGGCGGAAACTACTCGACAATCAACCGACCACCGTATGATAAGTTGGCAGGCTGTATACTTTCGCTACTTTCCGGTAGATGGTGCCAATCCTGCACAACGGGGTCCCTGAAACCCCGATGACAATATATTGGTATGCAAAGAGCGTTGCCTGTGCTCCGGGGTCCCTAGTACCCCGGATGCTATAATGTCGGTATGTAAAAAGCGTCATCTGTGCATCGGGGTCCTTGATACCCCGGGTGCCATAATGTCGGTATACAAGGAGTGTCACCTGTGCATCGGGGTCCCTGATACCCCGGATGTCATAATGTCGGTATGCAAGGAGCGTCACCTGTGCATCGGGGTCCCTGATACCCCGGCCGCCATAATGTCGGTATGCAAGAAGCGTCATCTGTGCATCGGGGTCCCCGATACCCCAGTTGCCATAATGTCGGTATGCAAGAAGCGTCACCTGTGCAGCGGGGTCCCTGAAACCCCGGACGTCATAATGTCGGTATGCAAGGAGCGTCACGTGTGCATCGGGGTCCCTGATACCCCGGATGTCATAATGTTGGTATGTCAAGAATGTTACCTGTGTCTCGGGGTCCTTGACACCCCATGATAATATCAGGTCGGTATCCAGAGGGCGTCATTGGCGCAGTGGGGTCCCCGACACCCCCGATGAAATCAGGTCAGTATCAAGAGGGCACAAATTCACGACCCTTTGAGAACAACGGCATGTTCAGTCATGGGAATTTGTAAGTATAAGTTATATTTATATAATTATGTGTATTAGCATTAAATATTTTTTTATTTTCAGAATGTATTAAATGTACATTTATAGACAATTATGTGTGTATCTACTGATGCCATGCTGTGCATTGTTTCAAATAACATAAATGAAGAACTAAATAATGATATTTTGGAGAAAATAGGATATGATCTTGATATTGATGAAATAATATCTGTTTTATTTTTAATGATAAAGAATTATGCATATAGTTTTAATGAGGTTTATGGATTATTGCAAAAATGTAAAGACAACAGATCTCATGTACTTGTTGAATTTATAAAAAAGCATCCAGAAAATTGGAAAAACAAATTGTTAGAAGCATTGTGCATTATACAGAATAGACACATTATACGGAAATTAGGAATATCATTTAAGGATTTAGAATTGTTATATTTACCAAAGAATAGTTTGTGTTCAAGATCTGTGAATTCAGTGGCTAAATGTTTATATTTATTATGCGAAGCACTTGCAGAGAATAATATAGAATATTTAGTGGAATTTGTGAAAAATGATTTACCTGAATATGAAGAAAATTTCAAGGATACAGACTTCCTGGAATTACATATATTATATTGGATACAACGAAAGTATATTTCAATTGATTTAGGTTTGTTGTTTTATTTTTGTAATTATTTATTATGTTGATAGTTGGTTTCTTATGTTTATATATTATATTATATTTATATTTTACATTAAATTATGATAGATGGTAAAGTAAATCTGAAGAACTTACTTAAACATTTAAAAAGATTTGATGATTTGGATATTATTTATGAAGACCTTAAAAGGTATGAAGATAATCAGAATGTATTGGATGTACAGTATGCAAGTTCTACTGCTGTATCTCAGTTGCAAATGTTTTCTACAAGAGAAGATGTACATATGTTGTCTGATATTAAGGAGCAAGGTATAAAAAAGTTGAAGAATGGCCTTTGCATCATTATAAGTCAAATGGTTTTTATGGGACAAAAGGTAGCAATATCGTATGATGTCTGTATGTTATTTATCTCATTTCTTCTTCCATTTTTCTCTTTCCCTTTCCCACCTCTCTTTATTTATTTGTCTAATTATTTATTTACCTTATGTAAATGAAGTAATGAAAACATATGTTTTAGTATGAAACTCGATTTGGAAACTTGGCTGATTGTAATAAATTGTCAGAAACATTTGGAGGTTTCAATTTTCGTGTTGAAGTATTTAAAAGTTTAAAAAAAGATGAAATGCTGAAAAAGTTGGAAGATATTCCAAAAAAATTTGGTATTGATTATGATTGCATGTTTTTGTGCATTTTAAGTCATGGTTGCAAAGGTAAAAAATATTGAATTTCCTCTCTCCCTCTTTCTGTTTTGCTCTGTGTGTGTGTGTTTTTGTTTTTTTTTTTTGAATATGTAATAATTTATTAATACTGTGTAGGTGGTATTATTACTTCTGACGAGGAAACAATTAGTATTGAAACGATTGAACATAAAATTTGTTCTCCAGAATTGGCAGAAGTTATTAAAATAGTTGTTATACAAGCTTGTCAAGGAGAAGTAGCAGGTACAAGAAAGTTTAATTTTATAATTAAGAATTTTCATACCCTACTTATTGTTAGTACACATAATTAATTTTTATATTACGTGATTACAGGGCGTGTTGATGACGGTCTGTCTACAGATGGTCCTACGAATTGTGCTCCCAATATTTTAGCACGGAAAAACTTCTGTTTATTTATGTCAACAATTCAAAATTTTGTATCTGTACGTCATAAAACGGAAGGTAATATATAATTTCAAAGGTATTACCTATTAGAATTTTAGATGTATCTTTGATTACTTTATTAGAGGTGCGCCGTTTTACAGGGTCCTGGTTTATTCAAGAATTTTGCAATATCTTACAAGAAGGAGGAGGTAAAATAACATTCTTAACTGCAGTTACAAAAACAATAGGTTCTGTGATACAAAAGAGAGGAAAATTAAATGGAACAGATTCTATTGCTCAATTAGCTGAGCTAAGATCATGCAGATTAGTTACAGATTTCTTGTTACCGGAATATCAAGCACGCAAAAAAAATAATTTACATCGTAAGTTTTAATGTTATGTAATTATTTGATACATATTTTTTATTGTATATATAGAGAAAAATAAAAGAAATTTTATTTATATATTTTCCGCGTTTCCTTTATTTGAAAATGCTTCTGTTATAACTCGAATAATAAAAAAATAAACAAGTTCGGCCACAGACATGAGGCTAAAACCAGCAAATAATCCTAGGAGACCACCGAATGTTGCTAAAACAAATATAATCATTTTTATTTTTTAATACAAATCAATGACTTATTTTACTAAACTTACGTTACCAAACACATGGCGCCAACTATAACGTATATCTCGTCGATATTGAACGGACACTAGATCACCGAAAAATATATGAATTACACTCTGATTTTTCCAGGTTTTACCTTTGCTAAAGAAGAAAATCATTACAAATTAACATTTAAATGGGAATTATTCAATAATAATTTATAGATTTGCACTACCATTGGAAGTAAATGTATACTACTAGGTCTTTTATAAATTTACCTGGGATAATTTGTATATGAGAGGCCAGTGTAATAAATACGTTTGTCAAGATTTCCTATCGAATTCTGTACGTAATAAGTATAAAAATTGCAATCTGGATGGCAATCGCAAGGTCTTTCATGGGTATTCAATTCTGTAAGCGATACAACATTAGGCGACATATCTGTTCCTGGCCAAGCAGTATCATACCAGTCTGTAAATTTAATTTGATCATAGTCGAGCCTATTAGTCTACTGTAAAATTCTCTGAATAGAATTTTCTAAATTTGTATATTGTTACAATTACAATTATAGACTTACATTTATAAGTTTCTATACATTCAAGATCTCTCAGATTGCATACTCTGGCATCTAAAACAGAAGATTCTTTCATCAAAGGACCAACGAAGAAGTATAATTATTCAATGTTAAATTTATGAATTTTAATATAAAGTCAACAAGTGTACTCTTTTTTAACGTAAATTAAAATGAACTAACTATTTTGCGGATAATAATATGGAACACATCCACATTTCGCTTGAATAACACTAGCTCGACATTCTACCAAGCAGTTTATAAGTGAATATCTTGCTGGAATGAAATATCTTTTTTTTTTATTTTCACTATTCATCGCATCTATTTCGTCGTGAAATATGCAGTATCTTGTAGATTCCTGTCTAACGTTATCCGTTGAATACATTTCATCCGGTTGGACAATAAGAAATGAATATTTATTAACAGGTATTAATTTGCTCGCTGCATTGTCGTCTGGATAGTCAAAGGGACTGTGTAACATGATCTGTAAACGATTAAGAATAATCTTATAAAAAGAATCAGCTTTTTTATTTCTTCACGATTAAGAAGACAAAGAAATTACCTTTGTTCCTATAGATTCAACGAGACTGGCATGATAATCATCAGGATCCAAATTCAGCAAAATATTAAGGCCGCTTTGGTAACCACAGGAGGTCATTCTATGGGGTGTCAGACTTTGCGGTACACGGTAAATGTAAAAGAAAATAATAATAATAATTTAGTTAGAAATGATGAAACATGATATACAGGTTGTTCGACAACAGGTGGGCAAAATTTTAAGGGGTGATTCTAGGGATCAAAATAAGACAAAAATCAAGAATAACGAAATAGCGTTTGCTGATTTGTTTTCCAATAATTAACGTTTAAAAATTCGAGTAAAAAGCGCCTGAAACCTGCAACCCGCCCAGCACCGGCGACTGAACGTCAGGTCAGCAGGGGTCGGTACAGTCATAACTAAGTTTCTACTATTCAACGATTCTTGGTTATGACTGTACCTTCCCCTGCTGACCTGATGTTCAGTCGCCGGTGCTGGGCGGGTTGCAGGTATCAGGGGCTTTTTACTCGCAAACGCTATTTCGTTATTCTTGATTTTCGTCTTATTTTGATCCCTAGAATCACCCATTAAAATTTTGTCATTAAATTTTGTAAATAAATTTGAAATAAATTTACTTTGGTTCTTCAAGAATCTTTTCACGAGTGATGTAATTGAAACTACAACACATTCCGTAGCGGGTGAAGCTCGGTTGAAATATCGTTTTACAATCTTTCTCTTCGGCTTTCCATTTACACGCTTCAAGTAAATTGTTGCAACTTCTCGTCACCTACAATAATTGCATTTCAATTTTCTTTCTACCTTGAAAATTTCCTAAGGTTGTACGATTTGAAATAACGTACTAAATTAATGACCGTGGGAATTGAGAGACCGTTCATGTCGAAGATGACCTGTAATCGTGTAAGATTACTACGGATGTTCAATTCGTGTTCACCAGGATGCAATAACTCGTTCAATAATTTCATCTCTTGAATAATAAATTCCTTTGACACAGTCGGTGGAAGTTTCCTATGAATTGAAATAAAAGGGATGAAAAAAGATATGAAAAATAATAGAGAATAATTAAGGTATCTGTATTAACAGCTTACCAACTGGAACTTATTCAATTTAATTTATAATTCATTTGAATTGCGAGCAGTAGGTAAGCTGTTAGAAAAATTGTAACTTAAGTAAGACTTACAATTTTTCGACTAATTTTCGTGTTAACTTGAGAGACACACGATTAAAATCGCACACTGTCACCGCTGGAAATGGATAATTCCATATTCCACGATGGGTCGACTCGATCACAGAGAGGGTAGCATGGTCCGAATAATAATCGTAAGTAAATTTCATTATTACAATTGCGATAACTAGCGATATAAGCACCGTTATTGCCCACGCGATTCTGTTAAAACGAACGTCAAATGAGTAAGTATCTTTCGATCTGATTATTATCGGAGCTGAATATAATTGAAACTTGAATCGAGTATACAGAGGATGGAGCATCTAAAACAGGCTGCCCGAATAACTCGCTGAGATGTACAATAATCTATGTAAATCTGATGTTAATTTTAATTTTCTGTCGTAGATAGAAAGAAGAAAAAATACAATTTACCTTTCTGGCATAGAACGACGAGTTTCAGCGATATATTTGTAACCATGAAGACCCGTTTCACGACAAAATTCGAAAGTTTGTTTTTTCAAGATGCTCCCACATTTTCGTAATATTCTTTCGTAATATTCATTCCATCGCAATTTTCTTTTTGTGTATTTATCATGATTCACTAACGACATTGATTTCTTAACCAGAAATATCAAATCGTCCTGAAACTTTAACTTTACGTCGAATAAAGTAAAGAGTCAGCAAAAATAACAAAAGCTTACAATTTGTAAAATTGAATAGTTCAAACCGAGTTAATTCTCCGAGAGATCTTGTAAATGATGAATTTGAAAACACTTTTAATCGTTACGTTATAAATGAAGAAAAAAATATTCGAGTTTTAATAAAAGCAACTTTACGCGACGTAGTAGATACTGTTTGAAACACGACTGTTGAACAAAATGTAACTTGACGCGAGACTGCGTTATTTAAGAATGTGCAGGCAGTAGTAGGCATGCGATGTTACATGAAAAATTCATTTGTCCTTCCGACTTTCGCCGATTATTGTCCGATAAGTTCAGACATTTTCCATCCAATGGTTGGAAATGATGGTAGCTTTAAGTACACCATGCGTTCAATTATTAATACCTCATATTTTTTTCAACTGACAATGAATACGCCACGTGGATGTATGATAAAATGTAGAGAAAAAAAAAGAATATCTACGATCGAATGCTTGAATTTTACACGATGCACTTGACGGTGCATGTCGCGCCATTTACCGTTAGATTTTCCACGTTGATAAATTTTAATATCATCTTTCTACGAGCCATCAATTTGAAATCTTTACAGGAGATATAACATTCGTTTGATACGAATGATAAATGCGAATTGCAACAGTTGTAGCAGTTTATTTACTATTTACCCAGAAAGATTACTTTCTCGGTATCTAATAATTTTGAATGATCGTGAAAATTAGAGAAACGATGACGATGGTGGTGGTGGTGTAAAATGAAAACGTGTTCACTCGTCGGTTTGCCAGAGACACTTTGTTCGGCATGGCAGGGTGAAGGATATTGGAAGTGAAATGCCTCGACCACGAGTGTACACTCGAGGCGACGAGTAGAACGAGTCCGGGAGTAGTCGGCCGAGTGACTCGATTCCTCGGATATTAAACTGTGAAGATGCCGCACTTGGACGCGGCATCTGACTCAGCGAGTGTCATTAATAACTTGGAGGGGATAGATAAAGTGTTAAACACCGTGTGTTCGAGCACACGTCATTACCCTTCGTACCTCGACTCTCGACTCGACTCGATTCGATTGCAACTTGATTCGAATCTGTTCCCACCTTGTCAAGGTTGATTCAAACAGAAAAGTTGTTGGTTTGTATGGAAAAAAGGTACCGTTTGTAATATGCTGATCGAAGAAAATGTCAGGATACCTTTATCTCTGTGAAGAAATCGGAAATTTAGTAACCTGCGCGTTCTAGCCTCGGTAATATGATATATGTGTGTTCCGTATATTGATATAATCCAATATTAGGGTGATTTCATGGCACCCTAGCTCAACGACACGGAGAACTTTCGTTTCGCGAAGGGCAAATGTTTTAAATCGACGGGCAAAGAGCGGAGGGAAGAAAGCTGCTATTTCCCACCACCCTACGATCATTTTTCCCCGGTTAAACAGTTAAACGCTTTCACGCTTGAAATGGGAAAACTTAACAAAGAACAATTTTAAAAGTAACGCCTTACTTGTGGATCAGCCCCAAGATGAAACGAAATATGATAATTTCAAGCGACGCTTTAAATATTTCACAAATTTTTAGATTAATTTTCAATTATTATGATAACATTATTTATACATATTTTCAATGATAATTATTATTCAGGCGACATTGGTGTAAATGAATCGTAATCGATTCAACACACACATACGTACACAGGGTAAAAGGAACATTTGGAAATGTGCTTAAACGATGTGTTAAGGTGTTGAAATGTGTGTGTGTGTGTGTGTGCGGTACGGTAATTTTAATTATGAGATAGTTCAGCCTGATGTCGGTTCGGTGCAGAGAAAATTACTGCACATGGAAGGGGTGAATTCGGTGGATGGGGTAACAATGTATTATGCGTTCCCCTGTCAACCCCTCGTGTTAACCGCAAACCCCTTCTATTCACCCCCAACAATTCGTTAACTGCTATCGAATTGACTTCGACCATCGTAAGTTGAAAGTGTAGCCTCCGTTACCTCTTACTCTATCACTATCTATCTCGTTTATTCCAACTTTCTTCGGATGCAATTGTCCTTTTCTTTTCTAACAACATTTATTTTTAATTGCATATTTCATAGAACATAAGAAAGAATTTTGCAATTAAATGCTTGCTTAAGAAATAGTGCAAAGAATAATAATAAAAATGAGGACAAGTAAAAGTAAAAGTGTAAGATCTATGGGTATCAAGCATGGCGTATGTACGGAAATAGCAATAAAGTTAACCATGTAGGAGGGTTTGAAGGGTGAATTGTTTAAAAGTACCCTGTCGCGTGTGAGCCCTCGTTATCGAGAACGAAAAGAGGTTATAGATATGAAGAGTTTCCGGGGATTTGTAGCCATCTATAAGGCATCTGTATTATAGGAGAGATGCTAAGGGAGAGACGTATTTCGCGGAACATTGAGCCCCATGGACTTTAAAATAAACCCGAAACTGAATCTGTCTCCGTCTATACTTTTCAGGATTCGATGTGTATAAAAGCATCCGCTTTTTTCCCGACCGTGCAATATCAACCCGGTTTACGAAAAATACCTCGGTTTTTTCTTTCCAAATAAGTGAGAAATATTTTGTTTCACTAGCTATTTGTATTATAAAGGTTTGAAAAGAAATATCGTGAAAATGAGAGTGGGTAAGTCTGAGCAGGCCGATAACGCTAATGAAGCTTAAAGAGGTATAAAAAGTCTTTTGAATACTTTTGATTTTGGTATGTCAATTAAGATAGGAAGTCTTATCTGTCGCTATGAACGTTCAGCGGACATGGATGCGTAAAAGAAGGGAAGCACATAGAGAGGGTAGTACATAGGACGCATATAGGGGTTTGCACGCTGGGAGAACTTTATGGGGGCCCCAAGTATATTTCCTGATTGAGCGGACTAATCCACGCAAAGGAGGTTTTATCGTCGAGGTATACGTAATCGAAGGGGGTGTCTCTCTCTCCCTCTTTTTCTTCTCTGCACGGATGTCATGTGGAAAACTTATTCTTCAATGAAATAATATTCTATACGCTATAATATTATTTGCTTTCTTAAATTATTCAACATACCGTTTTAAGAGAGTCGGGCAAATTCACGTAGATTTGAAAATTCGAGGCGTATCTCTGCCGTATTTACGATTACCTTGAATCGCATCATCGTTTCTGGAAGAGATCAGTGGAGTTTGTCTGTGGCGATGTTTACGATAAGCATAAACCCGCGAAAAGATTTCTCGAGTTGCCTGAAGAAGTTTCAAGATGCTAGCTGGTATCCCACCGGTTAGTCTTCTGACCCCTCTGCCATCCCTCCCCGAGTCTCTTCGAAGAAACTGAGAATTCGAGACATGGCATGGGCGGGTCTGGCTCACGGTCTTTTAATCGTAACTTGCGGCCTGATAGTAAGCAGGCCAACCTATACGGCAGCTCTATTTTTATTGTTCCCGCGATAGTACAGTTGCGCGGTCGTGGAAACGCGTCCCGTGTCCCGTATTTATTGGAAGGAAGGGGGTGAAAGTCTCCTGCGTAGACTATCGACGGCATTTCCGTCTTCCCTCGTGTTATTCTTCATCCGAATAGGTAACGGACGATTCGATGGGAAAGCAGATTCGTCGAATAACTTAATCTTCAAATATGTTGTCTATATACAGGGTGTTCGACAACAGGTAGGCAAAATTTTAAGGGGTGATTATAGGGATCAAAGTAAGACGAAAATCAAGAATAACGAAATAGCGTTTGCGGCTTTGTTTTCCAATAATTAACGTTTAAAAATTCGAGTGAAAAGCGCCTGAAACCTGCAACCCGCCCAGCACCGATGACCGAACGTCAGGTCAGCAGGGGAAGGTACAGTCATAACCAAGAATCGAAGCCGAATGTTGCAGTACCGAGAAACAGAATAGCACGAGGTAAGTTTCTACTATTCAACGTATTCTGTAATAATATTTAAAGATATTCTAACGCCACAATTATTTTTCAGTTCGACCATAGGTGCAACTAGGAACAGATTACGCTTTTCCAATAAAAACGGTGAAACAATAAAGGGGTTGTGGTTAAGCGGCTGGTCAGGTTGGTCAGGCTGGTTAATGTGTGGACACTTCGTGTTCACGGCTGTATCAGGACAAAGAATGAATATTCAAGAGTAAACAGTGGTAACGCTTTGCAAAGGGTTCGCACGAGGGTGTACAGGGAGA